GGGGTCGTGCTGCATGTGTCTGTCTGACTGACCTGCCGAGCGATGGGCATGACGACCCAGTGGAAGGCTGCAAGGTACTCTGGGTCTCCCATCTTGGCCCCGCCCCCGCTCCAGGGGATGTTGACGTTGTAGCCCCGCCCAGGCCCCAGGCCCACCCGGTCGCAGTCCGCGTCCTCCGAGGAGGGGAAGAACAGCCCGTCGTCGTAGCGATGCAGGGAGATGTACAGGACGCTGGGCGAGACGTGGAGGGGTAGAAGGGAGGAAGAGGAGGAAAAAGGGTGGAAATCAGACACCGGCAACAACAGACGACGGAGAGAGAGAGAACGAAACACCCTGCTAAAAATATTGGGGATGAGCGCAATCTGGTCTGTTTCTTTTGTTACATAAATTTGGAATCTCCAAACGTTTTCGTTATTACCACCCATTTGGAGCCATCAGCGGTGTGTTTTTCACTCAGCCACCACCCCCGAGACCTATCGCAGGGGAGACTGAGGAAGCGTTAACGAGGGAGCTCCAGGATTAGAGGCCGACTCCTCTGTCCCGCCCACCTTCCAGCCTCTCTTCTGTGAGCACATCACAGGCGGCTCCACCCCCCGCTGGCAGATCAGCTCTGATTGGAGGAGAGGTGTGTCCCCGACAGCACCGCCTCCTGCATGAAGAATCAGCTCTGATTGGAGGAGAGGCGTGTCCCCGACAGTACCGCCTCTCTAATGAAGACTCGCCAGCAGCTATATCACCCTGCAACTCATAACTGGCAACTGACTAAAGCTCAGCAGGTAATTGTGACATCCTGTCTAAATTTCCCCCCTGGCCTTTACCAATCATGGCCTCCTAATAACCCCCCTCTCTGAACTGGGTTCATCACTCTCCTCTCCTCCCCACTGAGAGCTGCTGTGTGGGGAGAGGACTGGAGCATCATCCAGGTGGGGCTGCACACCGGTGGTGAAGGGGATCCCCATTACCTGTATGGTTGGTTTGAGTGGAGTTTCCAGAAAAGCGCTATATACTATAAGTATAACGAATTAAATAATAATAATATTAATATGGTGGGTTAAATGGTGAGTGTGTTTGTGTCTGTCTGCTCTGTGATGGACTAGAGTCCTGTCCAGGGCGTTCCCTGCCTTGCCCCTGTTGCATGCTGGGATAGACTTGGGCTGCCCTGGGACCCTGAGCTGGAAGAAGGATAAGAAAATGGATGGATGGACGGATGGTTGTGATGGGTAAGCAGGGAGTCTGCCCCTCAAAGTGGCAGAAACTAGAAACTAAAGGCTGCAACACCCTATCTGATGTAGAGCTCCCCTCTACAATACCTGGGATCCTCCTCGAAGATGTGCTGGGTCCCGTTGCCGTGGTGAACGTCCCAGTCCAGTATGAGCACCCTGGGGGTGACAAGGGAACAGGGGGTGATTTCACATTTGGGGAAAAATCCTGCCTGCACACTACTGCACAGCTGCATTTAAGATAAGATCACTTTATTGGCCCTATACAA